AGGTATAAAATAAACACACAAAAGATGACGGTCAGATATTATCACCCACTTACCAACAATAATTGTACTCTTCCAAAGAATTTGATCAATCAATCAAAAAAAATAAAAATAAAAAAAAATATGTATATATATGTACCTATACTTGACACGCAAGGAACCGCAGCAAAAAAAAATTGTATCACGAAGTATTCAATTGCAATAATAATAATTTAAAAAAATACCTTAATAAATGTAATTAATTAATAATTAATGAACCCCAAAATTGAATTTTATTGAAATGGTGAACGGTGTGATGCAACAACTTACGCTATACTAAGGCGTTAGGCGAATACCAATTTTAATTGACGGTTACAAAATTAATACCAATTATCAAATTTCAATCAGAGAGTTCTCTCTTTTCAAAAAAAAAAATCTACAAAAAAAACAAAGTTTAGTACCAACTGTACCATACTTTAACTGAGCTTTGACTAAATAAAGAAACCCCTATTTCTTTTTTTTAAAGAACACGTTGGGCGCCAGTTGTAACACTTTTATTTTACGTAAGAAAAATCAATTACCAAAATGTAACCTTATTTGGATTGCGACCTTAGTTCAACAGAGTTTGTTAAAGTGTCCACGTGCCCGGTTCGTGGATTCGTGCGCCACCAATTTTTGAAACTAAATCGGAAAAGTCCTGCGATGACTGCAGGTTGAACTAAAGTACAAACCAAATTATTATGCCTGAAATGTAAGAAAATAATTGGATAAGCAAAAAGACAAAGAAAGCAGGTAATTGGCAATACTACAAAATCAGTATTTATTGAATATTAAGTATTGATTCAGTACAAGTTATGGTGATTAAATAATGATTATGACAAGTATTCAGAGGCTAGTATGACGACTAGCAGGAATAAAGAACCTAAAGGCTTCCTCATAGTCAGATTTAAGAAAACTGTCTGTCGGTATTGATATGTATGAATACCTATGTAAGCAGAGAGCTATACTTAAAACTAAAATAACCAAAAAGTGCGAATTAACACACACCCAGCGTCAGTGATCACTCCGCAAATAAATGGGGTCAAATGTTTACTTAAATGTGAGTAACTAAAGTTACCTAAGCCATATACGATATTTTTAAATAATTAATAAAAAAAATTACACTAAACTACTTAGCTTTATGCCGACAATTAACAATGGGTCTGGGATTTCACACACGTACCAGATGATCTATCTCATCAATGAAAACTAGTTCGCCGAGTCTTTGCTATTCAGATACAGTGGTGGGTACTGCATACCATCAAAACATCCACTGAGTTGCGTTATCGAAAACGGTAGCATAAAACCGTACCATAAGACCCTAAAGAAAGCACCAATGAGTAAATAAATTACCCTTAAATCCCCATTGAAATTATGCCACTTGGGATATGAAATTGTACATTTCAATTCCCAAGTTTTAACCCATTTACTAAATATAATGAGTTCAATTCATCAAATAAGTTGCATTGCCAAAAAAAAAATATATTTAAATAAAAAAAACTATAAGTCTACCAATCAATGCGGCATAGAATGGTCCCCCAATAAAACATTAAAATGAAAAATTGCCATTATAATTACCTCGTGGATTTTTGAGGGTCACAGCTCAAAGGTTGAAGGTGAACGGAAGGTCATGGAACTCTAATTTCACCTACGCTGGCTGATCCAATTTGGAAGTTCACAATAACGAGCAACAATAAAATCAAGGCTCTAAGAGTCTAGGCTCAAACAATTCAATCCAAGCGACGTGATGTGATATTCTATTGGGAGAATAGAACTAATTAATTTACAATAAAACAAATTCACAAAATGGTGGACTTACCGACTAGAAGAAATAGATAAATCCCTTAGAAAGGTGATTTGGCTGCCAAAAGGTAACAAAAACCAAAACTAGACTGGCAAAACCAAAATTGAAATTATCTGGATGACCGGATCCTAATTAAATAGAGAAAATCACTTAATTTTCTTTATGGTCAACCGGATAAAAAAACTATTCTTCAGGCCAAAGCCAAAGTGTTCTTGTCGCTGGACGAAATGGAAAAGACCGTTGTACGATTTTTGGGACCCTAAACCAGAAATTTCTACGCACTAACTTTTTTTTATGTTACATTTTTTTCTATCGAATTCCACATTCCACACTTTAGGAAGGATTGAAAGATAACGACAAAGATATCGATACTCGTCAGCGAAACCTCCAAAGAGACTCAACAAATGGGACCGAATCAATCCACACTAATCAGGAAAACACTATTCTCATTAAAATCTATAAATAACTTCACTTATTAAATAATATTGTCCATACCTTCTCTGACACGACACCAATTATATCGACATGTATTGAAAAACCCAACCCTACGCGACCAAAACCAAAGTACCAGCAAATTGATCGATATAGGTACTCGATAACAGGTAGATAAAAGAAACGAAATCCTCCAGTAAGAGAGAGACAGAGAGGGAGTGAAAACTAAAGGAATTAATCCTTCGAAATGAGCCTCGCGCGAAAATAAAATTGAATGACAATTAGCTGGACATAACCCCTTTTTATTTGAAAATCAAAACAATGTTGGCTATCGACTAATGAAATTGATAATTTATGTATATTCCTTTTAAGGACAACAAGAATAAGATAACCAGGCATTGTTCAATAAATATTCATCTGCAATGGTCAACTAAATCATTAGACAAATGATAAGGAGCAAAATCTTGTCTGGCTGTGCCTGAAATTATCTAAAAAGATGCAGAGTAAGGTAATTAATATCCAATCAATTAAGTCAGCTCTAAAATAATATTTGTGTGTTACCAGTTAAAACGCTGAATGACTCATTTAATGGGAAGAGCAAAATTAAAATGTTACAGCCTTGACAATTTTACATGGTGTTGCCAACATAATGTCACAACTGGCCGCTTTACGGGGGTGACATGGGGGGTTTGTAGCTTTGGGGGTTGATGGAGAGAAACTCGCTTAGGTTATATAAAAATATAGATATATATTTTCCCAAATATGCCCTTACATGTACTCTAATCCTATAACATGCATGACCCTTCGAACACTGGGGTCCTTATAGGGAGCCACACGTCGACGCTGCTTGGGGGACTGTAGATTAGTTATCGTCACCCTTATGCCTTGTCCAGAGGGGCTTTCCCAACGAGAGGTATTTGCACTGGACAACGATAAGGCTGAAGATACCCAGATGGGGCTTTCCCAACGAGAGGTACTTGCACTGGGCAGACTTAATTCCAGAGGGGCTTTTCCAACGAGAGGTACTTGCACTGGTTTAGACTTCCTTTGCTGCGGCTTGCAGCGTAATTTATATCCGTTTATTACTGAATTGCAATAAACATCCGATCGAATCGGCAATTAAATTAATAAGGTTGAATACCGGGTCCTCCTTTCCTAAGCAGCTAGTTGACAATAATGTCATTTTGACTTTTATCTTTTAAAAAAACAGACTTTAGAAAGATGCTCATTGCTGAACATTGCAAACACTCTCTGAAAATTTGAAAAGAAATCGCTCAAGTCATTTTGAATCTAAAGGTAAAAAGTCAAAATTTTCCGAAAATTCCAACACTCTATATTTTCTTAATGGGACGTTTGCAGACACATGTACAGTTGCGGCCATTGGATTTGGCACAAATTTTTGAACGCGCTCCTGTATAAATCCAAAATGACACAATTTTGGCATTAACGGCTTTTTAAAAAAGTCAGATTTTGATGCAATACGAGCTGCGTTCAAAAATTTGTGCCAATTCCAATGGCCGCAACTGTACAGTCGTGAGCATAAAGAGTGGGACACCCGACTGACAGTAATTTTTCGTTATTTTGGGTAAATCAGTCTTTTCTCTACGATGGATTTTTTGTCAAATATGAAAATCCCTGTCATTACCGTAGGTATAGCTGATGAGCTCGTTTTACAATAGGAAAAAACGGGTGTCCCACTTTTTATGCTCACGACTGTACCTATGCAAAAAGTGATTGTCCCACTGTACTCTATCTATCATGACAAAATGCGCACTTATTTCAAACTCACCCTGTAGTCAATGCTTTCAAATTTTTTACGTAGAAAAGGCTTGTGTTGCCAACATAGTTACTAAATTTTTGACTTGGGGAATTATCTTTAAAAAATAAACAGACTTTAATTATATTGTTATATTATTATATTATTGTTCAAGTTTTATCCATTAATATATAAGGTGAAATATTATAATAAATCCAGATGTGTAAGTTATTATTATTATTTAAAAGAAAATAAGATGAGAGACCTAGGAAGGGATTTTCTCGTTTTTTCCTATAACTATTGAAGATAAACCGAGAAATAAACATATCAAATCGTATATCGTTGAAATCAGGTTAAAGGGGACTAACAAATAAGCGCACAATATAAAGGGTGTTTCATTTAAAAAAAAATAAAAATAACTTCACACTGCTGCACTTTTTTGACGCACCCTGTATGCTTAAAATTGACTTAATGGCCGGTATTAAGGCCGTTTTACAGCTTGCAAGAAAACTTGAATGCCATTTATTGCATGCAAAAAAATTGCATTCAAGATTTCTTGCACGTCGTTTTACACCTTGCAATTTGACTTGTTTCTTTCTCTAACCTTATCCATACTTTTTTGTTTTTAACGTTGTGTTGTGTGTGTGCCTGAAATAAATAAAAGGGTACATAGGTAATTTGCTTGTCATACTTACCCCTCAGAATAATTATAAAAATTTATTTACATAGGCCCTAATATGCAGGAGAACTTCTAAGCAAAATTACATTGGCAGAACTCACATTACCTGCTAACAACCCAGGACATTCCTCGCTTTAAGATCAAGTTTAGAAAAGAATAAAAGATATATCCCGATAAGCTGAATGGGTTCCTACCTATCTCATTGAACTTCACAAAACTTATAAAGCATACGATATGATACACTTACATTGATAATCACTTTTAGCATTAGTAAACCTAGGAATGCTTTACTTATTTTTTAAATTTTATTATAGAAATCTCCAATAACAACCTGAAAACCACAACGGAATCCAGTGAAACGTCCTCATCGGCCACAGAATTCGATTTGGACAATACAGAACTCAATAGCTTGCCACAATTGGAAGTAAACCCCATATCTGTGCCAGGAATTGATATTTCGGCATTTAAGCAGTTTCGTTTGCCAGAAGTTAATAGGAAATTATTAGGAAAATCTGAATAAATTTTTCTTAACTTTTTTTTTAATTGTATATGAATTTTTGGATAATTATTTATAAGTAAATTTTAATTTTCGAGTTTGTTTCTTAGGAAATTGTATTAATTTTAGGTCAATGTTGATTAAAAAGTTGTTGTGTTAAACTATTTACTTAATATTTTACTTCCAATAACAAATATTCCTAAATCCTTAAAGAAACATCCAGTAGGTTTGAGTATTCAAATGCATATTTCACTATCGGTATTGCTTTGTTAGGATTCTAATTTACACTATGATTTTTTCAATACCTATTTAATTATCGCTGTAAATGTTTCCTGATCGATGACAATAACATCATGTACCTTATTCAATGGTATTGAAAAAAGCCATTAAAATAATCAATAACTCAATAAAGGACGAATATTTCATTACATTATCTCCAACAAGGGAATTATAGTTATTAATGATACTAGTTCGATATGAACACCATAATGAAACGCGTGTAACGTTAAACCACGAGGCGTTAACCGAGTGGTTTAGTTACACAAGTTTCATTAATAAAGTTCATATCGAACGTGTATCATTCAAAATTTAATCTACGATGGTCCAAATAGATCTGATTTACCTTGAAATAGCAAAAACTTTTCAAATTAAAATTTGAAATTTAGCAGGTGCCCGTACTAGTCGAGAACCTGCTTGTTGGTTTTTAGAATTTTGACTTTGGCAGCTTCAATAACCAGGCATTGTTCAATAAATATTCATCTGCAATGGTCAACTAAATCATTAGACAAATGATAAGGAGCAAAATCTTGTCTGGCTGTGCCTGAAATTATCTAAAAAGATGCAGAGTAAGGTAATTAATATCCAATCAATTAAGTCAGCTCTAAAATAATATTTGTGTGTTACCAGTTAAAACGCTGAATGACTCATTTAATGGGAAGAGCAAAATTAAAATGTTACAGCCTTGACAATTTTACATGGTGTTGCCAACATAATGTCACAACTGGCCGCTTTACGGGGGTGACATGGGGGGTTTGTAGCTTTGGGGGTTGATGGAGAGAAACTCGCTTAGGTTATATAAAAATATAGATATATATTTTCCCAAATATGCCCTTACATGTACTCTAATCCTATAACATGCATGACCCTTCGAACACTGGGGTCCTTATAGGGAGCCACACGTCGACGCTGCTTGGGGGACTGTAGATTAGTTATCGTCACCCTTATGCCTTGTCCAGAGGGGCTTTCCCAACGAGAGGTATTTGCACTGGACAACGATAAGGCTGAAGATACCCAGATGGGGCTTTCCCAACGAGAGGTACTTGCACTGGGCAGACTTAATTCCAGAGGGGCTTTTCCAACGAGAGGTACTTGCACTGGTTTAGACTTCCTTTGCTGCGGCTTGCAGCGTAATTTATATCCGTTTATTACTGAATTGCAATAAACATCCGATCGAATCGGCAATTAAATTAATAAGGTTGAATACCGGGTCCTCCTTTCCTAAGCAGCTAGTTGACAATAATGTCATTTTGACTTTTATCTTTTAAAAAAACAGACTTTAGAAAGATGCTCATTGCTGAACATTGCAAACACTCTCTGAAAATTTGAAAAGAAATCGCTCAAGTCATTTTGAATCTAAAGGTAAAAAGTCAAAATTTTCCGAAAATTCCAACACTCTATATTTTCTTAATGGGACGTTTGCAGACACATGTACAGTTGCGGCCATTGGATTTGGCACAAATTTTTGAACGCGCTCCTGTATAAATCCAAAATGACACAATTTTGGCATTAACGGCTTTTTAAAAAAGTCAGATTTTGATGCAATACGAGCTGCGTTCAAAAATTTGTGCCAATTCCAATGGCCGCAACTGTACAGTCGTGAGCATAAAGAGTGGGACACCCGACTGACAGTAATTTTTCGTTATTTTGGGTAAATCAGTCTTTTCTCTACGATGGATTTTTTGTCAAATATGAAAATCCCTGTCATTACCGTAGGTATAGCTGATGAGCTCGTTTTACAATAGGAAAAAACGGGTGTCCCACTTTTTATGCTCACGACTGTACCTATGCAAAAAGTGATTGTCCCACTGTACTCTATCTATCATGACAAAATGCGCACTTATTTCAAACTCACCCTGTAGTCAATGCTTTCAAATTTTTTACGTAGAAAAGGCTTGTGTTGCCAACATAGTTACTAAATTTTTGACTTGGGGAATTATCTTTAAAAAATAAACAGACTTTAATTATATTGTTATATTATTATATTATTGTTCAAGTTTTATCCATTAATATATAAGGTGAAATATTATAATAAATCCAGATGTGTAAGTTATTATTATTATTTAAAAGAAAATAAGATGAGAGACCTAGGAAGGGATTTTCTCGTTTTTTCCTATAACTATTGAAGATAAACCGAGAAATAAACATATCAAATCGTATATCGTTGAAATCAGGTTAAAGGGGACTAACAAATAAGCGCACAATATAAAGGGTGTTTCATTTAAAAAAAAATAAAAATAACTTCACACTGCTGCACTTTTTTGACGCACCCTGTATGCTTAAAATTGACTTAATGGCCGGTATTAAGGCCGTTTTACAGCTTGCAAGAAAACTTGAATGCCATTTATTGCATGCAAAAAAATTGCATTCAAGATTTCTTGCACGTCGTTTTACACCTTGCAATTTGACTTGTTTCTTTCTCTAACCTTATCCATACTTTTTTGTTTTTAACGTTGTGTTGTGTGTGTGCCTGAAATAAATAAAAGGGTACATAGGTAATTTGCTTGTCATACTTACCCCTCAGAATAATTATAAAAATTTATTTACATAGGCCCTAATATGCAGGAGAACTTCTAAGCAAAATTACATTGGCAGAACTCACATTACCTGCTAACAACCCAGGACATTCCTCGCTTTAAGATCAAGTTTAGAAAAGAATAAAAGATATATCCCGATAAGCTGAATGGGTTCCTACCTATCTCATTGAACTTCACAAAACTTATAAAGCATACGATATGATACACTTACATTGATAATCACTTTTAGCATTAGTAAACCTAGGAATGCTTTACTTATTTTTTAAATTTTATTATAGAAATCTCCAATAACAACCTGAAAACCACAACGGAATCCAGTGAAACGTCCTCATCGGCCACAGAATTCGATTTGGACAATACAGAACTCAATAGCTTGCCACAATTGGAAGTAAACCCCATATCTGTGCCAGGAATTGATATTTCGGCATTTAAGCAGTTTCGTTTGCCAGAAGTTAATAGGAAATTATTAGGAAAATCTGAATAAATTTTTCTTAACTTTTTTTTTAATTGTATATGAATTTTTGGATAATTATTTATAAGTAAATTTTAATTTTCGAGTTTGTTTCTTAGGAAATTGTATTAATTTTAGGTCAATGTTGATTAAAAAGTTGTTGTGTTAAACTATTTACTTAATATTTTACTTCCAATAACAAATATTCCTAAATCCTTAAAGAAACATCCAGTAGGTTTGAGTATTCAAATGCATATTTCACTATCGGTATTGCTTTGTTAGGATTCTAATTTACACTATGATTTTTTCAATACCTATTTAATTATCGCTGTAAATGTTTCCTGATCGATGACAATAACATCATGTACCTTATTCAATGGTATTGAAAAAAGCCATTAAAATAATCAATAACTCAATAAAGGACGAATATTTCATTACATTATCTCCAACAAGGGAATTATAGTTATTAATGATACTAGTTCGATATGAACACCATAATGAAACGCGTGTAACGTTAAACCACGAGGCGTTAACCGAGTGGTTTAGTTACACAAGTTTCATTAATAAAGTTCATATCGAACGTGTATCATTCAAAATTTAATCTACGATGGTCCAAATAGATCTGATTTACCTTGAAATAGCAAAAACTTTTCAAATTAAAATTTGAAATTTAGCAGGTGCCCGTACTAGTCGAGAACCTGCTTGTTGGTTTTTAGAATTTTGACTTTGGCAGCTTCAATATTGAAGTCCATTTTTGTGCCATAAATTCAATTTTATAGTGGAAAATAATATTATTATTGGTGAATCTGAGTTCGAAAGTGTCTCTTCGAATATAGAGACAGCATTATTGAAAAGGTTCTTCTGGCAACTAACTTTCTTTTTGTATATTTTTCATTTCAAAATTTGGGTGTTATTATGAATTCTTAAACGCACTAGTGCTATTATGAAGGACCTAATGACATTCAAATGACAATGCTAAATGTGTCATAATGACACCGACGTAGATTAAAGATATAAACAAATTACATTTCACCTTTGAAGTATACTTTTTGGAAACATATATTTTAGTTTCCTAAAATAGTTTAGCAAACGTAAATTATTGATCTAGTTGAAAAGAAACAATTTTTGGGATGAATAACCCACAATATTTTTCCTATAAACAGGCATGTATATACAATGCTGTTTCAATTTCCATTTATTAGTTTGCTACCTTTATCTACAAGCTTTTAGCTAAGTTTTTACATAACTATTTTTCTAATATTTATGTTATGTTATGAGACTCATAAATTAACTATAAATCTATAAATACATAAATTTCAGATACAAATTCATATGAAATCGAAAGGGTATTTTTATCACGGTTTGTTTACTTATTCGATAAAAAATTACAAGTTGCTCTCACATAAGCATATTTGGAATGAGATAATAAATGAATCTAGGTACAGTAGAGAATGCGGCTCATAAACAAACCATCAAGTAGCAAGGAATGTCTAATCAAAGCCCTAGAAATTGAGGCAGTCTATAGGACATTTGAAGCAAAGATCAGAGCAGTGTCAAGGACAAGAAAAAGAACCAATACGAGCAATTATTAAGACTCGATGAAGGATATTCTGGCAGAATTCTGGAAAGCTGCTACCAGAATCAAAATCCGCTGCGGAAGAAGACGACATTTGAAACGTGACTGTAAAGTACATTTGAGATCCCGCTCCCTTTCTGTCTGATGGCTGTGAGTCTTCTATTGAGAAGTTGCATCGAAGGATTTTCTGGATAAACATCACATTGCTATGGTGAACTAGCATAATAACGCAGATGCCTTATCCGCTAAGCATGCCTACATCAAGGAAAGAACTGCCTCTGAATTGGTCGGCGTGAAAGGATTCCTGTTAGAAGCTGTAATGAT